AAGGAAAATAGAAATCACAAAAAAAAAAAAAAAAAAAAAAAAACCTATACTTACAATCAGAAAGAGTTGAAATTTCTGGCATATATAAAGAAGAAAGTCTAGAAAATATAAAACTTAGAGGGCATACTGAAGACCGGAAAAGTAGAGAGAAACAGCGACTAACCTACTTAACGATCTGGTGGAAGAAGATAGCAAAACAAAGACAGACAGGAATTGTTAAGAATCAAAAGCTAACAAAAGATAGGAAATTGTGGAGTGCCATGACCTTTCACGCCCTGAAAGGGCACGGCACATAAAAGAAGAATTTTTAATTCTTAATTTCTGTTCTTTTATTGTTCTTGCTCCTTAATAATTTTTTTTCTTATGTCCATCACACTCAGCAGCCCTCTGCGTGTTGGTGGCTTTGTTGTATTGCTTGGGGTAAATGAATAAAAAAAAAAACAGTTTGTTCTGTGGAGAAAATGCTCCCGATCCCCCAAACAAAGAGAGACTGGTCAGGTCGAGGGATAAAAAGCAATAGCACATATCTTGTTGCGAAATACAGATTAATATCTGAAACCATGGTGTTGGTTTTCATCCATTTTGGGGGGCACGTTTTAATATGGTGTGTATGTGGGTATATAATCGTTTTGGAAATTGGGTTTATTTCCTATACCTTTTTATAACCACCTGTTACTTATATTAATGTCAACTAAGAATGTTTTTACATTATATAAGTAGTGAAGTAATCGATTTAAGTAACGCAGTTTATCGCAATAAGTGCTACGTAATTTGTTGCTATTTTCAAATGAGATATAATATAGCTTAAGTCTATTATTTTTTTTATTGGAGCCAAAAATCCCAGTCAGGCCTTCTGCAGAAACTAGATTCAAATATGAAAACATAGTGTAGGTTTTCGTCTGTTATTGTGGCGGAATTCACCACATTAACTTTAGATTAGGAAACAAGGCTGAAGCAGAAAAGGATAAGGAAAAGACATTGTTACACATAAAATATGTATTTAACAAAATGTACAATATCAAACAACGATGTGAAGGAAAGCATGCAGTTAAGAAAAGGTTGAATTAACCAAGAGTTGTCTCTCTTCATCTGTTATTTTAGTGTTCTAAAGTTCACTGGAAGAATGTCCATGAGAGTCTCTTGTAATGATTGTTCTTGAAAGATATTGCTGTGTAAGAAGAGTTTATGTGAGTGTGTACAGGGTATGTTCAGCACGTGAGTGGTGTGTGTGAGTGAGAAAGTTGGCGCATGGTTTCAACTGTCGTGGATTCGTTTGGAAGTTGAATTCTCACTAGTTGAGATTAGAAAAATCTTGGCTTAAAAAAGCGACTATATGCTCCAAATCGTTGCGCGGGAAGAATTATTCTTCACGTGCAAACGATCTGATTGGTTGGCATCGACCAATCAGAGAGCGAGCTTTGAGGAGACTTAAAAAAGCTTCTGTGATCCGTTTCTCCCAAAAGTGCACAAAATTGACTACTTAAAAATAGAGCGATTACAAAATTGTCGCATTACTGCAATTTGTAAATTGCCTATAATAACGTAGTGGTGATTAATTAACCAATGAATGCTTGGCGTTGTATATGATTTGTTTGTTTTTTTTTTGTATGTATGTATGTTCGTGCGTAATAGAGCCGCACATTATAATAAAGAGAAACAAGAAGGTATATTTTTTAAATCTACGTCTGCATGTAAAAACATAAGTAAGATAAATCGGTCTTCTACTCACAAGAAATAAATATGCACTTAAATTGATGTTCAATTGTTTGTCAATAAATCGCAAGCAATAAAAATGACAAGTTGAGGATTATGGGGTAATTTGCTCCGCTCTAAGTACAGAATAAAAATTTCTGGAATCGTATTTAGGTGTAAATTTATATGCTTAATTAAAAAAATAACAAAGAAATTTTGATGAAATCTGCCGTATTGGAGTTATCGACAATGAAAGTCGCGTCCATCCGTCCGCCATTACTGGACCTGTTTAACTAAAAATTCACTGCGCACTTAAGTTGTGTACAAAAGCAATGACAACTGTTTTTTTTTTGTTTTGTTTTGTTTTTTGTTTTTTATAGTAAAGCTTTCTTTTTAAATTAAAAACTCAAGTTAAATAATAAAATAAAGTATTTTTTTTTAGATAAAAAATTGATAATTATATTTGTAAAGCATGAATATTTACAAAATAAAAAAAATGCTAGAAAGGAAATAATAATTATTTGTTTTATTTTTAATTTCTCTGTTATTTTCGAATTAAGCATGTAAATTTACACCTAAATACAACGATTTCAGAATTTTTTATTCAATACTTAGCGCGGGGCTTTAAAAGCAAATTACCCGGATTTATGTTATCCGCATGAATTGACGTCCACTTTACATTAAAACTTTTGGGTTCATTTCTTCCTACACTCTCTCATGGCTAGATATTTGGAAAAGAAAAGGCTTGTTGCGAAATAGACTGCCGTTTCCCTCGATGTACAAGTCTGATAACTTGGTAACAGGAAGATAATTTTTTTAAAAGAAAAAGAGAGCGAGAGATTTCTCCTTTTATACAACTTAAGGGATCACGTGGTAACCCTGTCACGTGACCACTATAACTATAAAAAGTTAGCAAAGATAATAACAAGCCTTTTGTTTAGTAAGGATTTCAACAATACAAACTAAGTACAATGCCCCTTTCCCGCCTGACCAACAGTCAATTTCTCCACAGTTCATAAAGCGTTCTCATTATTTAACTTCTTTCTAAATTCATGTTTGTGTAATGGCTATGAATTTGTATTCAAAATAATTTGAAGTCTGTTGCTTTGTTTCCAGGGAGATTCCGGAGGTCCGTTGGTGTGTCAGCGTGAAGGTAAATTTGTTTTGGTAGGGATTATATCTTGGGGTAACGGGCAATGTTACACGCTGAATTTTCCCAATGTATTCACACGGGTATATTCGTTTCTGAAATGGATACAACAGATTGTCAAAAGCAACAGTGACTACTGAAACCTCATGAAAATTTTGTTTTTCTCTCCCTCTTTTAATGATTTGTGCCTTCATTTTATCTCTTTTTTCATCTTTACTCCCCACCGCGTGGGGAGTAAATATGCTTGGCGTGACATAATCATTTCAACAGTCATTGAATGAGATACACGGCAAAAAGTAATTGTTAATTTCATTATTCGATACTAAATAAAATTTTAAAATGATTTTTCGTGTTTATTTTTGTTTATTTTTTTTTTAAATAGGAGTAAATAGTCCGGTTCAGACACCTCCCCTTTTGAACAGAAGAGGTTTATCCCTTGCTTCCTGTTTAAGATTGTTTTCGTTTCTTTCTAAAATGAAGATTTTAAAATTAAGATTTTTCGTTTTTATTTTCTTTATTTTATTTTTTTTTAAAAATAGGAGTAGATAGGTTTGCCTATCGTCTGTTTCAGACACCTCCCCTTTTGAACAGGAGTAGAGGTTTATCTCATGCTTCCTGTTTAATATTGAGTTTTCGGTTCTTTCTAAAATGAAGATTTTAAAATGAAGATTTTTCGTGTTTATTTTATTCATTTTTTTAAATAGAAGTAGATAGGTTTGCCTATCGTCCGGTTCAGACACCTTCCCTTTTGAACAGGAGTAGAGGTTTATCTCATGCTTCCTGTTTAAGATTGAGTTTTTGGTTCCTTCTAAAGTCTACCTCAACTCTATACTTGACATTTCCGCCCGACCTCTGAAATTGTATTTACTAATCATTTTATTTATCCTCAATAGGAGTAGATAGGTTCGCCTATAGTCCGGTTCACACACCTCCTCTTTTGAACAAGAGTAGAGGTTTATTCCTTATTTCCTGCTTAGGATTGGGTTTTCGGTTCCTTCTAAAGTCTTTTCATTTTCTTTCACTCTCAGTAGCCCTCATGCGCCTTAGTGGCATTATCTCCTTACCTGGAGCGAACTGATTAAAAAGAAGGATACTGTTACTAGTTTTGTCATATAGTATAATGTTTTAATGGGCGTAAGACAAGAATGTGTCATCTCTCCGGATTTATTCAGCCTTTACAGCGAGGTCATCTCGAGAGAACTGGAAGTCTTACCGGGATTTATTATTGGCATATAGGATATGCGGATAACAGGAACTCCTATAAAATAATAAAGGAAAGTGAGAAAAAAAGGACTAAACATCAATTGTATGAAGACAGAATGTTATGTTGTCAACTAGTGGAACAGGTTAAGATAGGAGTTACAAATTAGCGATGTCAAAACTAAGCAAATATGAAAAATTAAATATCTGAGAAGTGTCTTAACAGAGGACAGAATATGAGAATCCGAAGGCACATTGAAAGATGCCTCCTAAAAGCTAAGCAAACTACTAAGAAACAGTAAATTTTCGTTAAGAAACAAAGAAAAGATTTCTCAAATGCTATGTACCATCTGTCCTTATTGCTGCCACATATGGTCTGGTGCCCCTGATATTTTCCTTGAGCTCCTTGATAAAATCCAAAGAATCAGCAATATTATCGGTCCTGATCTGGCAGCTCAGCTTCAGTCACTCTCCCACCATCATAAGGTTGCTTCTCTGTGTCTTTTCTATAAATACTTTCATGGTAATTGTTCGGATGAGCTCTTCGCTATGGTACCTAGAGTTTTTTTTTTAATTTAAGCACAGCACTAGACCGATATTGAGATCTCATCAATTTACAGTTGAGCTGGCTAGATGTAGACGTAAGTAATAATATGCTAACAGTTTCTTTTCTCGAACTTCTCGCTTGTGGAATTCTCTTCCGGCTCGATGTTTTCCAGTCAACTTTAATCTGCAAAAATTTAAATGCAATGTCAATCGCTTTCCTTTTCCTGCTCATTATTAATGTTTCTGTTCCTAATTCTTCAACACCCTGTAAACCCTTGTGTCTTAGTAGCTTTACTGCCTTACATGGAGTGATACTGATTAAAAATAAATATGGAACTGAATACTGGACAATGTCCTCAGAGATGAAGAGCAGACTTGAGGCAACAGAGATGTGGTTCTATAAAAGAAGTCTTACGGTCATGTCATATTCAGACACTGGTTCTCATAAAATCACCAAAGTTAAGCACTGTTGGACCTGGTCAGTACCTAGATGAGTGACTACTTGGGAATACCTGGTGCTTTAAGCTTTGATGTGCGGGTGGTGTAATGGATAATGACTCGGAATTGGAAATCGGACAGCCGAGTTCCATTTGCACTTACACGCAAATACCCTTTGGAAAGTTATGAACCCACCTCTTCTCCCCCATCTATGCGTTAATTAGTAGGGTTTGTATCATTATTATCACAAGAAAGTTCTTACAATCTATAAACATTTTCTGGCTTTAAATAACTTGCAAATGGTTGATGAGCTGTAAACAAATCGATCAAATCTCACATACTTTTTAAAAATTATTTCGCTCCAAACAAGACGATAAAACCACTAAGATGCAAGTGATGACTGAGGAAGAAAGCCAGTAGAGTGAAGGACACTGAAAAAACCTTATTGAGGAGAAAAGACAGTAAAAAGAACAGGAATCAAGGAAAAAGAAGATGACATCTGTCATTGCATTTAAATCTTTTGAAAAGTTGACAGCAAAGTAAGAAGCTGGAAGTAGAGTTCCACAGACCAGAGAAACTATTAGAATAAAATTTACGGTTACATCCAGCAATTTCAACAGCAAAATGTTGTGACCTAACTGCCAATCTAACACTACGCTTAAATTCGTTAAGTCGGGCTACCAAATAGGAAAAACATTAAATATCTAGGAGTATTTTACAAAATAAATCTACAAAAGGATCCCGAAAATATCATGGACGGAGCATGTGAGTAACAAGTAAGTTTTAAGAAAAATGGAGGTAAAAGGTACGCTTATAATCAGAAAGAGACAGAAGAAATAAATAAAGAGAACTTGGAAAATTTGACACTCAAAAGGCATATTGCAGAAAGAGTGACAGAGGTAAAAAGCGAGTAACCTAACCTAACATTTTTGTGTTTATGGATGGGAGAATAGGGAATGGGAGTAATAGTAAAGAGAGAAACATTACTTATAAGGATAGGAAGATGTGGAGATCCATGGTCGCCCATGTTTTGAACAGATACAGTACATAAAACAAGTTTATGTATGCTGTCAAAAAAGATGCTATTTTTGTTACGCACTTACTAATAAGAGAAGTGAGTCTTTAAATATATTTTTCCATATATTATGTATTAATTCTGTGGGATCAGTTTAGTACTTAATTATAGTTGAAAACTGATCCCCCACTTTATGTCCATGTATCATCTGCCATAATGTTTCAAAAACATGATATCCTATAATCCAGCAGTCGTGCGGTAGATTCATGGTATTCCTTCATGCATGTATTCATTAACACTGAGTGTATATCGTGTGTTATAAAGGCTACAAATGTTGATATAATCTTATCCGGTGATAGATGTCTATTGTTTATGCATATATGCATTAATTGTGTGCATATCTTTTGTAATAATGATCCAAAAATTTAATCTACACTAATCCGGTAATAGCGTTGTAGATTTTTTTACTTTTTCATTCTTATATACATTAGCAGCTTATGCATATCATTTATAATAATTTTTCTAAAATTTGATATCCTTTAATCCGGCAGTAGTGCATCAGATTTCTATTAATTCTTCATACTTATATATAAAAAAAAATAGCGTGTGTATATTATGTGTAGCAATCGTTTACAAAGTTGATATCCTCTAATCCATCAGTAGCGCAGTAGATTCCTGTTATTTGTCCATGCTTATATACATTAATTGCTTGTGTATATTATGTGAAATAATATCTCGTCTATTGTGTCTCCTGCAATTCGGCAGTAGTCCGGTAGATTTGTAGTGGACCATGAGTTTACGTGTTGTTAAATTAGGAACACATGTGTAACTCCTGATAGAATATTAAAAGGTCCACTAACAGAATATGGCAGACCCAATTTGAGTCCAACTGAAGATCTAAAGAAAACCAACAAGACCGATATATAGATACAAACAAGTATCAAACAAGTTAACTCCTCCTTAATTGTCCAAATTGTTCACTAGGGGGCACTCTCCCTACACTATAAATACTGGGTGATTTCTTGCCTCATTATCTTTTTCTTTTCTTCATTTTTAGCGGACACATCTACAATGTAAGCTCTCACAGAAGATTGCATCTCCCCATTTGTTGGAGACCCCATGAACATTATACACACATACACGTACATACGAACATTCACCAAAATACAAACTCTTTACATTCACACACAAACACAAATGTTAATGTCTATGTCCATTGTAAATTTTGTTGTTTAATACATATACTTGTATATACATATTGGTCTTGTTGGTTTTCTTTATACATCTTCAGTTGGACTCAACTTGAGTCCACCATATCCTTGTAGTGGACCTTCTTCTAGCAGGAATAAACGCACATGTTCCTAATTTAACAACACGAAAAACCCCAGTCCGCTACAGTCTTTATTCATATTGCCATTTTATGTATATATTTTATTTATATCTGAATTTTCACACACACACACACACACACACGTGTACATATATATATATATATATATATATATATATATATATATATATATATATACTCGTTTCTGAACAAACTTGTCTGCTAGGATGGGTAGTCAATCCCTGTTACAGATACCTGCACAGGCACATGTGTATTTCTTCAACACCCACAGAGTCCACCTGTGGTTTATACCCGAGCAGACTTTATAAGAAGAGATCACATAATCTGGTGTGATCAGTTTGAACAAGACTAGTATGCTTAAACCCTCAGTCACAATGACTCATGACTTCGAGTTAGCACAAACATTGACAAGTGAAAAGTATAACAAATTGCTGCTCAAAATGAGAAATGAAAGCCGAGTTTGAATTCCTGCCTGGTTTGTTACATTCACCTATGTGCAAATACTCTTGAAAAAGGTATTACTTCATCTCCTCCCCCCAGCTATGGGTTGAATAATATGAACTCTATCTGGAAAAGATATTCTAAAAAAAATGTTAATGCAAATAAAAAAAAAGAATTATTCTTACAATCGAAAATACATTTTGGCTTTAAACCCATAAAAAACCAATCAACCAATATTTTTCAGAAAAACTGTTTTGATAGATAGATTTTATAAATTTCATCTAAAAGTAATACTAGCTGAATGAATGTCTAGTGCTTCCTGCATGGAAACAGTCAATCTCACTAGTACCATTTCAGTAACATTTAAATAGAATCGCTTTTCGATTCTGTAACTCTTGAACTTTTTTAATCGACTGAATATTTTTTTCAAATAATTGTTTGATTACAAATGTAAAACCTTTTTTGTTGTTAACTTGAAATTTGTTCTGTTTAATATAACATCCCAGTAAAATTATAACCAACATTTCTTATCTAAATTCCATTTCTTTGTCTATGGACTTTGACCGGATTTGTAAAAACTTTATCAGACATTTATTTGCAGTTGTTATCATAACATCTCATCTTTTATCAAGGTTATTGAAAAGAATGAAAAGCACACAAAGGGATCAGAGGTTACATTTTTATTTTAAGGTCTATTTACTTAAAACAATGTTATATCTTAACCAAGAAAACTGTGAGAAATCTTACCATTATTTTCTTTCTTCAGATAATCAAATCTCTTCTTTGTGTTATTAAAGTTATTCATACAACGTTTCAACTATTCGCACAGTAGAGAAGGTCTGTGGAGTTTTTAAGGGCTACAAGACACTAGGCAGCTACTGATAATCTCTTTGTAGTGATAAATTATAATTTTATATTGATATCCAGGTAGCAATGCTCATGATGTCATCCGTTCCATATCGTCGGCAATGTTTGCAACTCGCCACTACCTTTCACATATAGATGTTAGTTCAATCTTTGACTGCATGATTTAAGCAAAGAGAACCACATGATAGGGATAAAATAATAAAGATAATGGTGAAAATAGCTGTTTCCTTATAAGGAAACATTTAGCATTCATTGACTGAAGAGTCAATGCTACTCGATGTTATGCTTTGCTTCATTTTCTGACCATAGGGCTGGGGTCAAAGTGTAGTATCTGTTTTCTTCATCCTTAATGGCAATGGTAATTTTAGCCATTACCTTATAAGCAACATTCAGCATTTAATTGACCAAGCAGCCAGTGCTACTCAAGTTACACTTTTCTTCACTCTCTTACCATTGAGCTGTAATAAAAGTGTTGTATCTGTTCTCCTCATTTCTAATGGCAATGGTAATATTAGCTGTTCCTTTATAAGGAAACATTCAGCATTCAATGACCAAGCAATTCACGTCACTATTGTTTGATATTTATAAAATCTTTCTCTCAAAAACAGTTTTTGTCAGGAAAATAAGCATCTCAAGTCTACTAATTGTTATTGCTCTTTCCAGTATTGATGGAGGTTTCCTTTCTAAGCTTTTGTTTGAAGTAGTGTGGAACGTCAATATATTGATTATAGCATTGTTTTTTTCTTCAAGTTACATGTGATATCCATTTGTAGTTGTTGCTGCTGTTGGAAGTCTTCAAGTGATGTGCTTTCTGTTATTTGGTACAGTTCTTTGTTTGTTGTTCTTTTGTAGCAGTTCATGAAGTTCAAAGAAGGATGGTCCTCTCTAAGACTTACAGTCATTTTTAATCATTGATCTGAGAAAATGGTTATATAGCTGAGATTTTAGACATTTCTGAATGAGTTGAATGCTATGCATGAAAAAAGTCACAATTTTAACTAGGCAAAAAGTTACAATTAATTTATGGTGGCTGGTAATAAAGTCACAGGAAAAAAGTCACAATTTTGTCTCGGAAAGAAAGTCAGGTAATGAAATAAAATATTCAAGTTATTCACAATTAATTTAAATACCATAAACATTTAAAGTAAAAAAAAAAAGTAGAAAATATGCTAAATCAGTTATTAACTGGCAATACATGACTTGTACATATTCACAACGCTATTTATATATGATGGCATTACATGTAAACTATACTTCAAAAGTTTGAAACCACCCCCCAGAATTAGCATGGGATGAACTTGACTGAAGAATGAAAAAAAATGAAAAAGAGCTCTTAGAGTCATTGAAAAAAGAATAGAATCAGTTATCAAACTTATATTTTGAGAAACTTTTGCAAAGAATGCTAAAT